GCCTTCATGTTGATTAAATGTTTGTTTAGTCTGATCGATGGCTTAATGTTCAGACTCTTCCGCGAAAAGCGACTTGGTGTAGCTGTGTGGAGTCTTTCGTTCGTGCTAACATTTTTTGTATTCACGAAGTTAGAATGGCGGCTGTTGCACAATTTAAAGTCGTCGAATCCACCAGGTTGTCGTCTGAATTGCAGGATATTCTGTGTGCTTTGTCGGAGAATGTGTGCTTATTGAGTAAATCTCCCTTAATTCCCAAGTAGGTTAAAATGCTTTAACGTATTGTATAAGATATGTTGACGTCAGAAGTTATGAAATTGCCAATTTAAGTGATCAAGTAAGTTGCATGTTCTTCTTATTCTGGCAGGCGGAGCATTTATTGTCGATGTACTTAGATAAACACGGTCAATTCTCCACTCCAACGTAACTCAATTTTTGATGTTCCTAAGCGGTTAACTGTAGACTCTTTATTCGACTAAATGAAGCCGTGAGATATTTTTCGGGGTCACGTTTCGCAAGAGCGATTTGTGATCATGTAGAACTGAAACTATCGTCTTCACCACAGAATCCGATTCGTTGCGTTTCATTCCCTAGTTTAGTCGACATTAGTCAATGTCACATTGATGTGAGACTTCCTTTGCTTATACATGTTTAGAAATGCCGCATTAACCATGTTAGGACCTTCGTGTCATGCAATAATCTCGTTTCGGCCGTTGAGGATCTTAAAAAATTAAGGGATGAACTCAAGGTTATGCCCGTTTTCGCTAATTCTTTGTAGGCTAAAGTGGACTCTCCAAAAATTGTTGCAGGAATTCGATTTGCAGGCTTGAAAGCCAGACGTGACTTCCTAAAAGACAGTGTTGCCTCTCTTAAAGTGCATGAACACAATTTGCAATCTCTAATGTCCCATGTCAGAGAGGCGTCAAAAATGTCCCTCCAGTTTGAAGCCCACTTTGTAAGTGACGTTTTTTTACACATCTGTACCTTGTATCTCGTGTCACTTTGCATTTTTTGGCAGAATAAAAAGAAGTCGCAACTTACAGCGGCAAATGCATGTCTTAAGCAGGTGTCTTCCAACGTGATTTCGATGAAGCACTCGGTATGTTTGGCGTGTACCTCTAAGTTTTACTGTCAATGAAGGCCCAACAAAATTTGAACAGTGCTATAGAATCTGTGAAATGTCTTTCGGTGATATTAACTGAACTTCGGATACTCTCTGGTGGGAAGTGTTTGAACATGGCCAATTCCGCTATCACAGGCATATTTAGATGGTCCCTCACTCCCTTTTCAAGGTATCTTGCCATATTAATTCAAGTTTGTCTCAGTCCGTTGCACACGAATTCCCTGTACAAAGAGATTTGTAGGCGCTTTGGTTTCAATCCACTTACCACAGTAAGTTTTCCTGCGAAGAATTTGTACTTTAACTTTTCTTTAGCCATTTGACAAAGTTTTTGAACATGCCTTCGAGGTCTTTATGGAACCTGACGTTTCTGTTACAGACAGCAACAAATTCGCCCTTTCTCTCAGTAGGTTAAAAGCAGTCCAAAGTGTCGTTCAGTCTTCATTAGGTATGGCTTTGCCCTGTTATCAAGTGTACCGTCAAAATTGTTTGTATAAACTACAAGAATAATGAACCCCGCTAACAACATGTTGTATGTAATTAGAGATTGCTACTGATAAGCAGTCTCAGTCAAATTAGCTCTTTAATTTAATTTAATTGTAATAGGTGTTAAATTAGACTGACTTGACCTAGGTACGCCAACATCCGGTCTTAGGTAAGTGTGAGCAGAGTCGTCTGCAGATCCGTGGTATGCTTCTGTTTATTACGATTAGCGGTTTGATTAGCATTTTATCAAGTCAACATGGTTGCTGCCATAATTTCTGTGCTCGAAATCTGAGCTAGAACGGCTTACTTGGCTGTGAAGGCGAACCAGAACAGAAGAAATCTATTTTCGTAGCAAACCAGACACGGGGTCGGTAAACCCGTTGTAAATGTGTAGCAAATAAATACAACTCAATGGATAGGAGGAGTAATTTATAGTTGTCCCTTGAACGTTCCAGAGGCAACTCGAATTGACGAAAAGGAAACTTGTGGGACGATGCTAGCAGCTTTGAAAAAAGTCTCCTCCAATTATGAGAAGACATCGGAGAAATTGGCAAACCTGAAAAGATTGTGGAATCATTGGTGAGTGTGCGCTTTTTTTCCGTGTTTATCATGTGAATGAATAACTAAAAGAATTAAGTACTGTTTCCCCTTTTTAGGATCGAGTTCTCTGTGGACGAAAATGCTCACGACTTTCCTTAAGTGGGTTTTAATGCTCACGTAGGATGTCGCTAGCAGTGTGTGTAGCTGGTTAAGAAGTGGAAGTTCTTTGTCATAGATGGTTAATCTTTCTTTTTTCCCTGGCCGGACGGCATCGAAGATTCTGCGATCGTTTCAGCCCTCGTCTTGGTGACACCTTTACACGGGCGATGTTATGCCTCTGTTCAGCGGTGATCGTGTATTCCTGTGCTTTAACTATGCATATTAAATACTACTATTGTGCACTTTCTTAGGGGAGTGGTTGACATTCTACGTTGGTTCTGATGATCTATTGATGTCTCCACTGAACCTCTAATGCATTGAAAACTTAAATAGAAACATGCTATCCTTTTGAAAACGTGGCGGGTTGAAGGGTTGTAGATTACGTGTAGGGAAATCGCCAATCTAGTGTGGTGTGAAGTGGGCACAATACAATTTAATCCCTTCAACTTCCAAACGTTTCGGTTCCTATCTTAAGTGTGTGGGTTTGATATCACAACATTCCCATTATTGCCTTTCCGAATGCGTATGTTTGCGTAACCTAAAAATAACAGAACCTTAAAACATAGGAGGGAGGTTAACATCCATCATTCATCAGCCTCTCTTGCTTCTGATTTATCTTTTTTCCAATTTCCTCACGTGAAGTCCTGTTTTTAAGATGCTTTCCTACGACAATAAATTTAACATTTAACATTTTGTTTCTAAAACTTCGTTTCTATAATTTATACTAATGAATGCAGAGGAGACCGGTGGTGCGGTTTTGCCAATGTTATTAAGCAGGATACCATGGTGACGCGGGGAGGATTGCAAAGGGTCAAACATGGCAGGATCCTTATTCTTGCTAAACTGCCATTATTTGTGAAGGCTCGTAAATAAACGTCTAGATTCACGATTCGCTAACTGAAATTGTGTAGTTCCGTGTGAAGAACTTTAAATCTGCGGAGTTATGTTATGGCATGTTAATAATGACATCAGTCAGACGATTGAGGCTGTCCTTACTGCCGGATGCCTATGGAAGTTTTTTTTATATCCAGTCACCATCATGGTCAACGGTAATGATAATCGTTTGGGATGCGGCGGCACAGTCCCGTCGTCCGTTTATCTTATCTGTACGGAAGATGTCCGGTCGTCAAAGAGAGCTGGCTGTAATGCAAGCTCCTCCACTAGGTTCTTAGACCTCACAAATACGAACATTGACCGACCGATGTGCTCCAATGTGCTGGCTCATTTAACGTTCCGATTATGGAATGCTTACACACGCCGTGTCTTGTCTTGGACGACAACTCCACTCCCGGTCTTGATCATATCAAGTCGTAGGTTGTACTTCATACTGGTATCACGATTGGTGTTGCCTCTCTTACTTTGTCCAGTTATTTTTCTGAAGCACGGATTTTTACTACACTTGTCGTCTTTGTAGTGGCATCTATCAAATTCTAAAAACGCTCTAATAAGTCCCCAATTTCCGGCCGCTAATTACGCTTATTTACTCTAGCCTATTACAGTCAGCAGTTGTGTTGGGAAACTCTGGAACAATTTTCTCCAAACCACTTTATTACGAAACCGTTTCATACGCCTGAAACAGATCAATAATATTCCCTCAAGTCTAAATAGGGACTCGAAAATCAAGTACGTTAACAGGCCATAGCAATGCATGTAGTGTTAGCAACGTAGGTACCGTAGGTTCGTAGTTTCCCTTTTTTGAAATCTCATTTTAGTTAATATAAATCTCCCCACTCTTCTTGTTCGTTGTCTAACTCAACATGGTAAACTTCTTTCAGCGGTCAGGAAATCTGGGTAGAAGTGATCAGTGCACCCATTTACCGTGTATGGCTCGGTACTCACTATTCTCCTGAATTCCTTTGAAAGTTTCCCTCTTTGCTGTCTGCTATCCGCTTTTCATTGTGGCAGTCAACGCTTAAACACTTGTCCGAAAAAGCAATGAGCCTTTCTTTGTGAGCTAGGTAATATTTTAATTATTTTCCTTTGAAAAAATGCAATTGACAGGTAGTATGAGTTGAAAATCAGATATACATACTGAAACCCACTGTTTAATGTTTGTAGTTGCAGGGACTTTGCTCAGCTCGGTATAGGTATTCACAAAATTAAGTGTTTTTTCGAGCATTTTGTCACAGTATAATATGGCTATTAACCACTTCACCCACGGTAATATTAAGTGTAACTTAAGGGCTTTTTTTGAAATTAATTGATGTAAACCAGGCTTCAATCTTAAAAAAGGTTGTATAGGGCCCCTGAATGTTTTATTGAACCACACCGGGGTCACTGCATTGAATCTAGTCCTATTACTCTACCCTGAGTATCGGCGAAGTTGAGGGAGACCGGAGAGGACGAGACAATCGTTTACTAGACAGTTCAACCGTGTTGTGTTGATTGATACAGTTGAGTGGACTATTAGAATACAGACATCTGAATGGTCACATGGATAGAGCGGGTATTGGTCGTAAATACAGAGGTGTGAATGAGCAGGTGGCCCCATTTACTGATGCGAACGCCGTGAATAGGGGGGACGTGTATGCGAGGCTAAAACGGTCGGGTTGTTTGATGTGAATCAACACGATTCGCAGCAGGATACATGTCAAAAAGTACAAATAATGATTTGATAAAAGCGGTATTCACTATGCTAGGGAGCAGAAACAATGCCAATTAGGAAATAAAAAATGTGAACAGCCAAGTAATTTGGCATTTCGGCAAAGCGATTATCACATAAAGTGTTAGGCTGTTTTAATACTTTGATTAAATTACCCAGATTATAAATACAAAAAGGTAGAAAAACCCAACCATCAACGGCCTGCGCTCATTTTTATTGGTTCGTAGTTCAACCAACAAAACAACAATATGGAAGTTGATACATGTGTAAAGTGCCAAGGCACACTAGAAGGCGTAAAGCTATCCTCGTTTTTTGGTACAAAATATGGCCAGTGAAAACAGAATCAAAAGGTTATCGTACATGGTGGTCATGAATTCCCCTACATAGCCGGTCCTGATAGTTCGCCTCCATTCATTGTCTCCTGCTTGGTTTCTATTAGTAAATGAGGCAAGCTCGAGAGGTGATTGGTTACATGGGCTTTGGCGCGCTATTTGATTCTCCACTGACCACGAAATCGGAAGTGAGGCCACAGGGCATGAGATGCCAAAATCATGATGCGCTTCTCACTCTTAACCAAGATGGCGGTCCTCCGCCACGCCGCTTCACTTGCTTGGTGTAGAATACCCGAGCCCTAGTACGAAGAAGACCTGTACAACAGAACAGCCTTTATTGGCCAATCAGAAGCCAGTGCCACGCGTCAGGCGCCTTCCATTCGAGTCCGCCACTCTGGCCACGCCGCTCATTATATACAGCACCTCAGTCGTGTCCTTCTCTGGTTGGCTGCTTATCTTTCTCGCATGCCATTAGAACGCAGAGAGACACAGGATTAGCTGAGGCCAGGCGGTCCAACATGTCTGCGCCCTGATCCGTTGCCACCATAGAATACCCGAGCCCTAGTACGAAGAAGACCTGTACAACAGAACAGCCTTTATTGGCCAATCAGAAGCCAGTGCCACGCGTCAGGCGCCTTCCATCCGAGTCCACCACGCTGGGCTCGCCGCTCATTATATACTGCATCTCAGTCCTGTCCTTCTCTGGTTGGCTGCTTACCTTCCTTGCATGCCATTGGAACTCAGAGAGACACGGGATTGGCTGAGGCCAGGTGGTCCAACATGTCTGCGCCCTAATCCGACGTCACACTGCCTCCCCCTTAGGAGTGAAGCTGTCCTCAGCTTCTGGCTTGGTTCCTTGCACTGTTGTTGATTTTCAGTGTTGGTAAAATATCCAGTTCGACACTCCCCGCAACCCACATCTGGCAGGATAGTGGTCTATGCGAATAGTTGACGAGGGACTTTGCTCTTGTAGACTTGCAGGAAAGACTCATCATCCGTTGAAGGTCCATTCGCAGATGCAGTCCAGCTGGCTTCCACTGTCCAAATCGTCGTCGCTGAGTTGCCAATGCGTCTTCAGATAAAGTAGTCCTAATCCCGGGCAATGTCAATGGATCCAGTTTATTGGACATCGGATGAACGCCATGACAAATTCAGCTGGCATTCAAGGGTCTTTGCCTCTGTTGACCATAGAAGATAAAGGGCTGGGGTTCGATTTGCGTTATTTGAACGCATCCGCTGCCACCAATGTAGAATACCCGAGCCCTAATAGGAAGAATATTGGTACAACAGAACAGGCTTTATTGACCAATCAGAAGCTAGAGTCACACGTCAGGCGCCTTCCATCCGAGTCCACCACGCTGGGCTCGCCGCTCATTATATACTGCACCTCGGTCGTGTCCTTCTCTAATTGGCTGCTTATCTTTCTCGCATGCCATTGGAACACAGAGGGACACAGGATTAGCTGCAGCCAAGTCGTCCAATATGTCTGCGCCCTGATCCGACGCCACTGTAGAATACCCGAGCCCTAATAGGTAAAAGACTGGTACAACAGAACAGGCTTTATTGACCAATCAGAAGCCAGAGACACGCGTCAGGCGCCTTCCATCCGAGTCCGCCACACTGGCCACGTCGCTCATTATATACTGCATCTCATCCATGTCCTTCTCTGGTTGGCTGCCTTTCTTTCCCGCATGCCATTCTATCGCAGAGAGTCACGGGATTGGCTGAGGCCAGATGGTCCAACATGTCTGCGCCTCAATCCGACGCCACACCACACCACACTAGTCACACAAAGTGCATGACACAATGTTGAAAGCTTTTGCTGCATTCGGTGGTGCATGTGGTGTCTTACTCATCGCAAACAAGGTCTACTTTTCTGGTGGAAAGTGCTATGAAACAGGACGCTTAGACGGAAAGCTGGCTATTGTCACGGGAGCTAACGGAGGCATAGGAAAAGAAACGACAGCCGAGTTGGTTAGACGAGGGGCAATTGTTATCATGGCCTGCCGAAACCTTGAGCGTGCAGAAGCCGCGAAGGTGGATATTGTCCAGCGATATGGAGAAGGTCAGCCATCAGCTCTCACCACAAATGTTGTTAACTCTCACATGTGCCCGTTTCTTTCTCCTGTAAAACCGGAGCAACTTATAGTTGAGAGTCTCGATTTAAGTTCATTGAATTCAGTTCGCGACTTCGTCTCGCGTGTTTCCGCGATCGTTGGAAAAGTCGATATATTAGTTAATAATGCTGGAATTATGGCCTGCCCGTATGGTGAAACTAAGGATGGCTTCGAAATGCAGATGGGGACAAATCACCTAGGACCTTTCCTTCTAACTGAATTGCTTCTACCACTGATAAAGAGAGCCGGTCCTGGATCAAGGATAATTTTTGTTTCTTCTAGGGCACACTTAAGGACAAAGGTTCCACAATATTGTTATTGCATGACTCTGCCATCTTTAGAGTGGTTTGGTGCCGTTGAATGGGGAAAAGGCTGCATACAGCCGTTTCAACAGTTACTGTCGTTCAAAACTGGCAAATGTGATGTACTCCAGTTATCTGGCAAAGAGGTTAGAAACCGACGGTATTAAAACAGCTAGTGTCCACCCAGGCGTGGTCCAGACGGATCTATTTAAACTTCCTGAATCTATGAAGGTAAGTGCTATGTGAGTTATGACACGATCAAGACAATCCTTCGATTTGTCACAAGACCATTCATGAAGACCCCTTGGGAAGGCGCTCAGACAACTTTATATACAATATTAGTGCAAAATTTGAAGTCGGGCGCATATTATTCGGATTGCGCTCTAAGTAACCCCTCACCTATTGTGTTTGATGAGAAGGCCACAGAATGTCTCATTGCTGCGTCGAGGAAAGCGGTTGGTTTGGACTAAATCGTCTATATTGTAAGTTTGATGAATGATAAGACACAAGTATTTATTCTCATTCGATTTTTTTTCCGGGTTCGAAAATCGTCTACGGTCTCTGAATTTTCACTTGTGATTTGCGACTTTAGGTTAATCAGAGTAAGCTAAATGGTTTTTATTTTACAACTGACGATTCAAACTTGCCAAACTTTTTGATGAAAGTGTGACTACTGTTGCAAGCAACTTTGCATTGCACAGCTGGCACCGATTAATCAATTTCACCTATAAATCGATAGATAAATCGAGAAAGTCCCACAATGTTGTGAACATTGGTCAATGTATGGTCAAGTTGGGCGGCAGATATCAATTGCATTGAGGTTAAAACACTCCGCTACATGTGTCTGCTAACGGTCCATCGCACTATATTTACCTTGGATTTGCATAACGAAACCAATGTTTCCTTAAAAAAGTGAAGAGGTTGTGCTCAAGGAAGAGAGACCCGCAAATTTCTTGATTGACAGAAAATCCGGCTTTCTACTTTGAATAAAAAGCTATGTTAAAAGGTTGCTCATTAAAAAGGTTTTAACGTGAGGAAATCGGAAAAAAGATAAATCAGAAGCAAGAGAGGCTGATGAATGATGGATGTTAACCTCCCTCCTATGTTTTAAGGTTCTGTTA